TGTGACCGGGCTGTAAACAAAAAAGCATACTTTCATCTCCTCCTTTCTGCTCCTCTTCCTCCTCTTTATTCATCTTTAAAAAAATAGTTTAATTGACCTATAATTCACATAACATACAATTCAATAGTTTAATCATATAAAAAAGAGTTTATTCTTCTAGTTTCCTTTTCATACCTCACTGTGTTCTCAAGAATTTCAACACAATGCTAAGAAACAGAAACTTATTTCAGGATGGCGCAAGACGTTTTGACTATTTTTGCCCATAAGACTTTTGCCCAAGGGCAAATTTTTATTCCTTTGATTTTCTGTGTTCTCATTTCATGCCTTTTCCTCAGGTGAATAAGGATACATCTTGGAGAGTTTTAAAAATTTTATTGGGGGCTCTTACAGCTCTTACAACAATCCGTACATCAATTGTATCGAGCATATTTGTACATATGTTGCCATCATTATTTTCTAAACATTTACTTTCTATTTGAGTCCTTGGTATCAGCTCCTCTTTTTTTTATCTTGGAGAGTTTTAAGAGCACCATAGCTATGGTTTGATCCATGTTGAATGATGATTATAGTAACAGTGGTCACAATAAGTTGGCCTCTACACTAAGTCATTTATACAAAATAGCATTAAATTTGAATGTTTATCACCTAAAGAAAGTTTTGCCGTTGTCTTGGGGGAGAAACACCCTTGGATTCATCCATGTATGTCCACCTCATTGGCTACTGAAGCAAGACTAAAAGAGTTTCCAGGAGGAGTGTGTAATGACAGAGCAGCAACCTTATTTCCAAGCTGTGTATGGGGAAGCCCAGTGGGATAGACGTGGTTAAGCATTGGGCTGCTAACTGCAAGTTTGGTGGTTCCAGCCCATTGGCTGTTAAGGCACCGTCTAGTCTACCATTTAAGGTTGGTTGCTGTGAGATGGAATTGGCTCAGTGGCAGTGGTTGTTGTTATGCTAAGGACCTCGTGGTAAACCTGTGAGATGGGGAAAATTGTGACTTTCACAGAGAACCAGAATGGCCTTCCTAGCCGAAATCAGGTCAGGTTTCTAAAGGGTGGTGGCTAATAGGAAAAGAATGACCGAGAACATCTCTTTGACTTGGGAAGGTGACTGGTTTTATGAGAGTAATAATTTTAAAGGTACAGGGCACAGGACATGGGTTAAATTTTGACTCATGAGTATGGGGGATGTGAGCTTTGGAGACAGTCTCTAAGACTGTTAACTCTTTGAGGAAGCAGAAAACCTCATCTTTCTCCTGAGGAGCCAGCTGCTGGCTTCAAACTTCTGACCTTGTGGTTAGCAGCCTAATGCGTCACCACTGTAGAGTCGTTCACAGAATTTCATTTGGAATAGTGATTTAGGATGTGGCCTTCCGAGTCAGGCAGGATCTACCTTGACTCGTCCTTGTCCTGTGTAATTGGAGACGTCCGTAGCACCTGCCTCCCAGGGCACCCTGCCAACAGAGGAAGGAATCCACGACAATGTTCCTAGTCCCTACTGAGTCTGCACAGGATGGGACAGACTGTCTGCCCTAAAAGTAGAAATGGAAACTTCAGAACGTCAATTCTTTTAAAAAAAATCATTTTATTAGGGGCTCATACAACTCTTCACCATCTGTACATATATCATTTGTGTCCAGCACATTAGTACATATGTCGACTTCATCATTCTCACAACACCCGCTTTCCACTTGAGCCCTTGGTGTCAGCTCCTCACTTCTTAATACACTTTTGGAAAGTTCACTCTTTCTATGCTCAATTCAATCACAGTCGAACAGTTTGTAGTTTTAAAAATATTTGTTGGTTGGCGTGGAGAGCGTCCACACAAAGCAAACACCCGTTGAACGGTGTCTACATGTACAGTTCGGTGACATTGGTTACAGTCCTCCAGTGCATTCGCTCCTCATTTCCCTCATCCCCCAACTGTGCCTCCTCCATTAGCATACACTCACTGCTCCCTCCCCTCCCTCTAGATTTCCTATCTAATCTTTCTTTTTGCTCTTATTCCAAATAGATACGGTCGTTCTTAAATGAACTCAGTGCTCAAGGTAGAGAACCCTTACTATTTAAGCTAAATGACCGGTTTGGGGAAGACTTCAGGGTTATTGTTGGCTTAAGGTTTAAAGATTACCTCAGGGCAATAGTTTGGGGAACTCTTTTAGCCTTCATGGTTCCAGAAATTCTGGATTACATGGGGGCTTGAAATTCTGCAAAGAGCCCGCACCCCATATTACTAGGATTCGATAGAATCTGTGATCAAAATGTTCAATCATGGAGCCGTGTCATCCCGTCTGGTTTCATCACAAAGGAGGCCGCTGTTCATGAAGGCTGTTAGGTACACTTTCCACGGCTTCCTTCTTATTCCTGGCTCTCCTTTCCTTTGTTGCTCCAAGTTTTACCTAAGTGTAGGCCTAAAATGCTTAGAATTTTGTGTTCTATTTATACTTAATATTGCACAGTTGATGATTTTTGTCACATCACTATTCTTGTAATGACTGCATAATGCCAAGTAGATGTACCATGATTTAGTCATTTCCCTACCGCTGTTCATTTAAGTTCTTTCCAACATTTGGCAATTATAATGTCTCAAAAGAATGAATAACCTCATCTATATAGCTTGTTGATGACTTAAATTTGGTTCTGTAGGACGAATTCCCAGAAATATTACTTAATCAAAGGGGATAAATAAACATGCCTTTTGAATACCTATTGTCAAATGGTTTTCTCAAAGGGCTGTACTGATTGATCTTTCCATTGCCGTTAGTTTTTCAGCTTCATTTCATTTACCCTTACTCAACAAACAGCTTCTGAGCCTTACTCAACAGACATCTTTTGGCAGGTTTAGTGAGTAGACAGTGTCATTAGGTGAGACCTATTCAAAACTTAACTGCCATCAAATCAATTCAGACTCTTTAGTGACTCTGTATGTCAGGATAGAACTTCCCTTGTGGGTTTCCAAGACTGTAACCCTTTAACAGAGTAGAAAGCCTCATCTTTCTCTCGGGAAGTGGCTGTTGGTTTTGAACTGCTGACCTTGAGGTTAGCAGCCCCAAGTGTAACCACCAGAAATGCTCCTATATAAATTGGGCTCCTGCTATGCCACATGCTGATGGAAGCACAGAGTGCCTTAAAAGGGAGGTGGTGGACACAGCTGGTAAACAGGCCCAATGTCATTTCAGACTTGGAGTGGTCAGTGTGTGCTGCTCTTTGGGATTATTACAGAAATACTTAGCAAGACCTGAGCGCAGCATCTTGGAACTTCAGGGTTTTGTTGTCAGCATACTTTCTTCAAAGAGGGACCTGCTGGTCTTATTTTATCTTCTTTGTGTTATGTGAAGTAAACTATTTTCCAGCCTTATAAGGCAACAATGGATTTTTGCCTTATTTATCTGCCTATTAGAGAAATAATACATGCTTATTATAGGAAATTTAGAAAACAGGAAAAGATTGAAAAGAATCCCTCATGCTTTCATGCCAGTATATCTATTGGTATAAATTTGTAGTTCATTCCCAAAAGAAGATTTTATTATTTTTAAAGAGTCTAATGCGAACCACATAAAATGTCTTTGGAAATTCTGAACTTTGGAAATGCCAAAGTAAACAAAATATAATAAATGACACTCGGGCATTCTGAAGTGCCAATCCATAGTAGGAGAGTTAAATTCATTGTTACCTATTTATAAACGATCAAGGAACCTTGAAAAACCAAATTTAAAAGATATTTTATGTCACGGAAAATGCCCCAAGTGTTATGTTGAATGAGAAAGCCTAATGAAAAATTATATGTGCTGTACAATCTTGGATTCATAGGAAAAATATTAATATACATAGGAAAAACCAAATATATTAACAGAGAACCATTGTTGGCTCAATTACTAGGGATTATATTTCTGGGAAGTCGTATAAGGGTGATTTGTATTACATTTTTCTACCTTTAAAAATATTTTTTAATTCTCAAATTTTCTATAATAAAAAATATGTGGATGTGAGGATCAAGCGAAAACTTGATTATTTTTTTTTAAAAAGGAAGAATTACGTAGCAGCGTTGGCTTTGCGACTCTGAAGGCACCGTCACCACTACTGTTAGCCACAGGCCACACGACTCTCCTGGGCTTCTGTGGTGTTCTGATTAAAATTTAGAATGAGGAACTGAAAGACATGGAATTGATAAGAGATATGAGGCCATGTAACCAGTTGTCTGAATACCACTGGTTAAATTAGACTGTCTTTGTGAGTTCTTGTTTTTCCTGCCTGTTTATCTGTTGGTTTGCTTTTCCTGGTGGATCAAACTGTATTGGGATTCATGATCTTCCAACCCATTGGAGAAGATGGGAAGACTTGGCACTGCTGCCAGTTTTCCAACTTAGGGAGCACACAGACCAATATTGCCGCGTGTGTGAATGTTTATTCTCCATTGGAACCCTCTTCCAAGCCCAAGGGGGAGGTGGGGAGCAAGCTTAGGTATGTGTAGAGGAGCAGAGGTGGGTGTACATAGCAGCACATCAGGCTGCCCTCCTTTTAGTAAGTGGCCATTACTTGCCTGGCCCTGTGCTAAAGCTGGAAATGCAACGATGACCAGGACCCAGTGTATTCACAGTGCAGGTGGAAGTCAGCGATAGAAGCGGATGATTCTCAGGAACTAGTTGAGAACCTATGGAAGGACGAAGCAGGGTATCCTGTGGGACAAAGGCGCGTAGCTCAGCCTGAGATTGAAGTCAAGGAAACCGTGCCTGGTTGAGCTGTGGAGACATGAGCTAGAGGAAGCAGGGTGAAAGCACCTTCCTTGGCTTCAGGAAGGCACAGAAATCTGGAATAGAGCCATTGCAGAGAATTGCAAACAACTGGATGTTATTAAAGCTTAAGTTATTAGCAAAGAGTAGGAGAGGCTGGAAAGGTTGATCAATTTTTAAATGAACGCTTCTGTGTATTTCCCAAAGCTCAATAGAATTAGGCACCTGGGTGATATTTTTAATCCACAGTGCTCATGTCTTGTTTCCTCCCCAGTGTCAGCTGTTGCTGGAGGTGGCCTGGCCTCTGTTTATCTTCCTGATCCTGATATCTGTTCGACTGAGCTACCCACCCTATGAACAACATGAATGTGAGTATCTGTGACACCCTGTTTGAGACTCACCATTGGCGCGGGAAGTCTAAGCAATAGACATGAGGTGCATTTGGTTTTTCCAAGCGTGCTAACCTTACGCAGCACCACCAAGATTTCCTTTTCTTTCTTTTCTTTTCTGGTTTTTTTTTTTTTTTGAGACGAGTTTCCAAAGTATGGAATGGCATCAATAGTAATTATAATGGTCACCAACATTTTAAAGCATTTTTATAGAACTTCTTAGTTTGACTGATACTTTCTTTGATTCTCAAACAATTTTGCATACTAGACTATTATTATTGTCATCATTTGCTTTAATTTCTTGATAAATAAGTTGGGACACAGGGAAGGTTGATACTTGACTTGCTTGCTCAAAGTCACCCAGCTAGTTAGTAAGCACAGGCAGCCTGACTCCCAAACATGCACTTTGGTAATATCCTTTATCATAGGCATAGACACAGTAATACAGTGGCTAAGAGCACAAGCTCTGGTTGTCAAATTACCTGGGCTTGAATATGGCCTGCAGCATTTACTATGCTCCCTTGGGCAGATGACCACCACAGCTGTGATACAGTTTGTACCTTAGTTTCTTCATCTCTAAAAGGGGAATAGTAATACACCTATCCTTCACTTATTGACTATCTCATCTGATATTTCACATTTATGACAATAGTGAAAATTCTCCGTTTTGCGTGTCAACAATGTATGTCTGGCATTAATGAATGTCAGGGTGCTAGGTGACAGTAAGTGGCTATGATAGCGATAGTTATGTGTCAACTTGACTCAACAAAGATTCTTAGTGGTTTGGCAATTATGTAATGATGTAATTTGGCAGTTACATAATAAAGTAGTCAATTTTCATTTTGTGCTCTAATGTGGTTATCTTCCATTTCTTGAATAATGCTAATTTTTGCACACTAGCCTGGTCTTTGGAACCTAACAGTGTTGATAAGTCAGGGATGGGTATTCCTAGTCCGTCCATCTGCTGTGTGTGTTATCAGTTCACAATGGCTGTCTCTTTCCCTTGTGGGATCACGGAATGGGCTGTTTCCATCTAAAGAATCATTCCCAGGGGGGATTCGTCCCACATTTACTTGGGAGTCTGGGGCAGGGTTGTCATCTACAAGCTCTGTTCCATTGCTTCACTCACGTTCCCAACCACTAATCGGCTTCTCTCACACCTGCAGCAGCCCCTGTGGACTTGCACAAACCTGTTTTAGGGTAAGGATGGATCAAGGGTCACGATTCACTTGTGTTCCTTTCATGGGCTTGCCCCTTTCACAGCACATGTGTGTGCCACCAAGTCCATTCCAACTGATAGCAATCCTGTAGGACAGAGGCGAGCAGTGTGATATGGTTTTAGGCTGTAATTTGAATGGGAGAAAATCACCAGGCATTTCCTCCCCAAAGCACTTGGTAGGTTTGAATCAATAATCCTTTGACCCTTGACTTAGAAGCTGAGCTCTTTAGCAATGGCTCCACCAGGACTCCTTCCAAGCACATTTCCAGGGTTACGAGGTGGGTTGCTAACTGGAACTGGTACAGACTGGATGGTACAAACCCACCAGCTCTTTTGAGGTGGAAAAACCTGGTAAAGATCTGCTCCTGCTCCGTGCACAGCCGAGGAACTCCTATGCGAAGGTTCTACTTTGTGCTGTAGCGTCGCTCTGAATTGAAATCGACTTGCTGGCCCACAGCAGCCATAATGTACCTGCTCATCTGCTGACACTCCCTAGACACTGAAGATTTTAGTTTGGTTTTGAATCATAAAACCTTAAAATAGATATGATTTTTTCATTTCATCCAAAAGGAACAGAGTAGAAAATCATTACTTTTCCTTTGCATCTTCGTTTATGTATGGGTGTGTGACGCAGTTGTCCTTGTTTTGGAACCCTTAAGAGATTTTGTTGATAGATGAGTAAAATGTTTTCTTTAAGCTTTGTTTCTGAGCCCCTGTCAGATGACACATATTGGGGTAAACAGCTACATGCATCTGCTAGGCCATTCATGATTGAGTTAGTTAATTGTGCCAGCCTGGCTGATAATCACATGTGGGGCTAATTGAAAGGCGGAGGGATAAATGGGTGGTGAGCCTCGGCCTTTCTAGTTCTCGGGTCTCTTGTTTTGTGATGGTTGCATCGGGGGCAGCTGCCTTAGCAGTTCCCTGCTTCAGCTTGCAAGATTGACTTCCTACAAGACATCCCCAAGGAGAAGCCACATGGACCTATCCCGATGCAGCCCTGGGTGCTGGAGCAGCCGTGTGGAGACCACTGCTAGTGCTGAGATGCTTGTTCGTTCACTGACTCAGCTTTCCTCCTGCAGTCGGCATCATTGCCTCTGTTTTGTGAGGTGGAGGACTTTGTGGACTGGTGTTGGGTTAATGGGTTAATGTTGGACTTGTGGGCCTGGGCAGCATTGGGTTGGGATGTTTTCTTGATGCACATTTTTTTTACATAAAACTCTCTCATACATGACCCAGATCCCTTTGTCTCCAGACGATACATTCTCAGAAATGGGAAGTGTTTGTTCTTGCAGAAGACAGCTAGGACATTTCTCATTACTGATGCACTTCTGGTAGCCTTCTTTCCTGTTCTTGGTACCTTCTAGGGAGCTGGCTAGAAAGACAGAGTGGAGAAAGCTAAGAACTAAGGTGGAGCTTGCACAGGGCCTTAGCTCTGGGAACAAAGGGTTGAGCTGTGATTCTTCTTCATGAGACCTGGCTGACTTGTTTGGACTCTGGGAGCCCATTATGCTGTTTCATTATCCTCCTGTTTAAGCCGTGTCCTGCTTTTGTTTGACGGGGCACGACCTCTCGGTGTCTTTGCTTCATGCACCAGTGTCCAACCTTCGTTACCTCCCTCTTCATTGCTCTGTCTTATCTTTGACCAACACAGCTCTGTCTTTCACACCAGTACCCCCTAGAGCTTTCAGGGGATAATCTCTCTCGCTCTTTTTTAATTAATCATTTTATTGGGGGCTCGTACAAATCTTATAACAATCCATCATGCACTTGGATTAAGCACACTTGTACATATGTTGCCATCAACATTTAGGGGAGAATCTCTTGATCCTTCAAGCATTTTGTTGGGTTACATAAATCTTCTCCCAGTAAAGAGCGACTGATTTAGGCAAAGGGCCTTGTTTGGTTTTCCTTGAACTATTACCGGGGCGATAAGGAGATTAGCTAAGTAAATGTTCAACAGGACAGAGTCCCTGCAGAGGGTGACCACGGATCTTGTCACATCTTTGCTTTGTTACTCTCTTGTTAGATTTTGGCCACAAGAAAGAGCAGATAAAAGGGCCCCACTACTGAACTGCAAAATGGCAAGCCCTGGTTATGCGGTAACATCTTGAGAGGCTAGCATTATCTGGTTAGCGTTATTTGTGTATAGATTAAAGCAAAATTCCTCCTGTGGAGGAAGGTGGTAGCTGTATGACGAGAAGGGACTGTTCCAGGCTTGGGAGAGGAGTGTAGGTTCACAACATGCCTCCCCTCTATATAACTTGGTAACCCTGGTAACATAGTGGCCTGTGCCTTTGGCTACTACCTCAAGGTCAGCAGTTCAAATCCACCAGCTGCCCCATTAGAGAAAGATGAGGCTTTCTACTTCTGTAAAGATTTGTACTTTGGAAACCCACAGGGGAAGTTCTAATCTGTCCTATAACATAACTGTGAGTCAATGGCAGTGAGTTTGGTCTTGGGAATCCTGATAGGCCATTCATTGAAGTTTGTCTCTGAGTTGGGCGCTTGCTTAAGTGCTTCTCATTGAGCACTCATATAATACCACAGCTCTGTGAAAGTGAATTGTGTTTCTGTTACTATGTTACAGCTGGGAAATTGAGGATTTGGTGACTTGGTCAAAATTTCTGCTTAGGGAATTGCAGAGATTGGACAGGAATTCCAGTTGGTCTGATCTCAAAGCCCAAGAAGTGACTCAATTCTTTACCACCTAAGTTAGTTCTTGTTGCTAGGTGCCTTTAAGTCGGTCCATTCGCACAGCGACCCACGTGCCAGAGCAAGAACACTGCCTGTTCCAGCACCATCCTCACGATCATTTCCGTGTTTGAGTCCATTGTTGCAGCTCTGTGCCAGTACATCTTGTCCAGGCCCGTTCCCTAGTGCTCAGTGGCCCTGAACTCTTTTGGGGTCCCAGATAATACCCCCAATAAGAAGATGCTTCAAAGTTTGTGGACAAGTTCCATGATCTAAAGTTCTACTTTTCCATAAGCTTTTGAAGTCCCATTGTGTCATGAAAGGTAGCCCTCCTGTTATAGGGACCCGTGGTCTTCAGGTTGAGGACAGAGACATCTCGATCCTTAGAGAAGTAGCCACTAATGGCTGCCACACACCAAACGGTGCCTCTGAAGGCCCAGATCGGGTCAACCTTGTCTGTGAGGCAGGTCCTCCGAACTGAAGCGAGTGGACACTGAGACAGGGACCTGTTGGATGGGGCTCCTGGTTGGGGCGACCGATGAACGGATCCCCACAGGTCACATCTAATTCCCAGTCGGCACGTTTATTGGGTGCCACAAGGAGCGTTTGGTCTGGCCGAGAAGGTGAACCTATCGGAGAGCAGTACAGAAGGAGATGGAGGAGAGCGGGTTATAAAGAGGTTGTTGGTCTAAGACAGTGGTTCTCAACCTTCCTCAGGCAGCGACCCTTTAGTACAGTTCCTCATGTTGTGATGACCCCCAACCATAATGTTATTTTTGTTGCTACTTCATAACTCATTTGGCTACTGTTATGAATCATAATGTACATATCTGATATGCAGGGTGTGTTTAAGTGACCCTTGTGAAAGGGTCCTTTGATCCGCAAAGGGGTGTCGGCCCAGAGGTTGAGAACCTCTGGTCTAAGAAAAGGGGCGTAGGCTGGGAACATGCAAATGTGGGTTCTACCCCCAGGCATGCCAGTTCACTCCCTGAGGATTCCTCATTGGTCCGTTTGTTTTGGCTTGGTTTCCTCCTTGGTTACGAACTTGAACGAAGCCCTCTTCAAGGCCCTCTGCCTCTGAAGGTAAAGCAGGGTGAGCATAGAACGTGAAGAAATGTGCAAGACCTAAGTGCCTTTATTCTTTGGTCTGATCTACTCGTTTGGGCACTGCCCTGTCGTTGGGATCATGAGCCCTGTTCTACAGATGATACCCAGGTAGATTAAGAACCTGGCCCGCAGTCGTAGAGGCCTGCTATCTGATGCCCAGTGTCCAACCCAGGGTCAGGTTGGTCCGTGTGGGGAGGCGGACATTGTATGTGTTGAGCCAATAGAGGTAAGGACTCCTATCAAGCCTCACAATCGCTGGAGAACATTGGAGTAATATTTCTCTGTGTGTTTTTCTTTCCTTTCTACAGGCCACTTTCCAAACAAAGCCATGCCCTCTGCAGGGACACTTCCTTGGGTTCAGGGGATTATCTGTAATGCCAACAACCCCTGCTTTCGTTATCCGACTCCTGGTGAGGCTCCAGGCATTGTTGGAAACTTTAACAAATCCATGTAAGTACCAGCTGGGGTTTTCTTTTCCAAATGTGTCAATTCACACTTTTCTTTCACTTCTCACCTGCATCGGAATGGTTGGCTTTAAGTATAGGTGATTATGTAAAGATGTGTGTGATAAAATCCGCAGAAGGAGGGGAGGAAGAATTGCCACCAAGATTTAAAATCACAGTCCTCTCTTTGTTACATTTTAGGGGTAATGATCAAATATAGCTAAAAGTTATGTAATTGGCGATGTTCATCCAAAAACAGAATGGCAGATAGGTAGAGGAGATGTGGCTACATCTGTCCATCTGTTCACTCAGCAAATACTTATTACACATGTGCAATGGCTGGATCTAGGAGCTGGGGCTGTCAAAACAGTCACCGCAGGTGACCCTGCCTTCAAGGAGCTTAAGGCTGAGGCTTTGAGCATCTGTCCCCTCTGCTCTCAGACTCCCTCTTCTTCCCTCTGTCACTGCCCCTGTCAGACCGGAGTGTCACTGCTGGCTGCAGGTCTGTCTTTTCCCTGGGTATGAGTTCCTTGGGGGCCAAAATACTGCTTCCTTTGCTTTTGTGTTCTTGGCTCTTGGCCTCAATTTTCGGACATAAATATGGACTTATTAAAGGTTTGCCAAGTGAGACATTGAAGGTTCAAATGTACAGAATCATGCCCTGGGTTAGAATGAGCTGCGGGCCGTGGGAGTGTCTGGAGGCAATCCGAGGGAGTTATGGTGAGGGCAGACGGAGGGCTAGACCTGGTAGCTTTCATGGGCATCCTCCTCCATGCAAAAACATTAAAAGTTGCACATTACAACTGTGTTGGTAAAACGGTCGATAGAATCCAGGCTGGAGTTATTACAATATATTCATTCTTACAGAATGAAAGAAATGAAAACCTGTTCATGCGCCCCTAAATCTACTGTGGGTCTTAGGCCCTGGGGATGCTGTCTCGCACATGTGTGTGTGTACATGTGTGCATGTGTGCGTGCCAGGGAGGGCTTCCAGGGCTAGGGCTGAAGGAGTGATGAGCTCCGGTTGTGTGGACATGAAGGGAGGGCACTCAGGACCAGGATGGTGGTAGATGGGTGGAATATAGGGAATCAGTGAAACAGGGAAAGGGGGCAGGGGGCCCACGCCTGTCTTTGGAGGAGCTCGGAGCCCGGGCGTTATTAGTCGGTTTGATATAGTGGGAGAGACAGCTGACCTAACCACGGCATTTTCTTTTTTTCACTCTCCCTGCAGCGTGTCGCGCCTGTTCTCAGATGCTCAGAGGCTGCTTCTGTACAGCCAGAGAGACACCAGCATGAAGGATATCCACAAAGTTCTGGGAACGTTACGGCAGATCGAGAACTCCAACTCAAGTGAGTGAAAGCGTCTTTAAGGTTGGTTTGCAGCTGGAAAATCAACCTGTCGCCAGACAGCCAGGCATGCTCCTTTTAGCTCTTAACTAGGGGATGACGGCCAAGGGGGCTGGGCTGCGGTTCTTTTGATAGGAGGCCTTTGAGAAGACACCAGGGAAGCTGGATGCAGCAGACATAGAATGCAGTGGCCTTCTCTGGGGACACAGGAAAATCCCTGGTGAGGAGATGCATAGACACTCACCAGAACTGCCTGCAGTGTGGGCAGCAGCCAACTGTGTCCGCCCCACCCCCACCCCTCATTTGGCTGTATGGCTGTGGTGAACAAAGGGCAGATTTATTAACAATGGGCACTTTTGTGCCTATAAGAGCAATGACAGCTGCCGCTTGATTTGAATAAGGGAAAGCTCAGCAGTTATTTTAAAAAGGAAAATGCAGACGTTTGATTTCATCTGATGGGTATTTGAACTCTGAAATCTTCACCTCTGATCTGGTCAGCATCCAGGCAGTTAATGGCTTGTCACTGAGGAAGTGTCAGGCCCTTGGCCCAGTGAGGTGCTCACTGGCTGCAGGCATGTTAGTGCAGTGGCCTCTGGGGGAGGACAAGAACAAGGGAGAGGGGAGCAGTCTGCCTGGGGCAGGCCGTGCTGGGGGGCATGGTCTGTGAAGATGTTAAAAGCAATAAGGAAGCTAATAAAAGCTAGTCTGTTTTTTTCCTTTTAATTTTTATTGTGAGTTAGGTGAGGGTTTACATATCAGATCAGCGCTTTCGCATTCAGCAACTTCAACAAGGTATCCAGGCCCCCAATCGCTTGCTCTCTTCCCTGCCCCACCCCCGGTTTATGTCCTCCCCCTCTTGTAGACCATGATCTTCCCCTTTGCCTAAATTAACACCTGACTACCCACTAGCCTATTATTTGCCAGTCTTTCCTCCCCCCCCCCACTCACCCCTGGTAAGCCTCAAAGTCTGTTTCTTTTGGTGTGAAAACAAGAGAATTATGTGACAGTCTGTTCCTTGATTTTTTTTTTTATAACAGTGGTCTCATACAATATCTGCCCTTTTGTGATCGACTAACTTTACGCAGCACAACATTCTCCACATCCAGGCAGGTGTGTCATGAGGCATTTCACAGCCTCATCGTCAGTCTTTAACGACGCGTAGTGTTCCGTAACCCGGTCGACTTTTCCTGATCCCCTGCACCAGCAGTTCTCGCCAGCACCCGTGATACAGTCCTGCTCCCCACGCAGGTGACTGCGGCTGTTGCTGAGGGAATGTCCCTCCCCTGTGTTTGGGGAGCTGTGTGTGGGCTGGCCTGGACTGAAAAGCCTCCTGGTGTGTGTGAGCTACTTGAGAAAGCTGAACGTGCAAGAGTTTAAACGGGACGGGACTCAGGTTGGGGCTTTGCTTGGGAACTTGAACCTTTGCTTTCTCTGGGCAGGGGAAAAAAGGGTGGGCAAACACAGCTAGGGGGAGGTGGAGGCTGGCGCAGAGGAGGTGTGGCTTTGGGGCAGAGGGAGAAGTGACTCTGGGCTATGGGAGCAGCTGCGAGGGACCTCCAGCCTAGCCTGTGCAGGACACAGACAGAGAGATTGCAACATCCAGAGAGTGAAGCGTCCACCCTCCCCAGTCCACTGGCTGACTGTATGCTGGTGAACCCGAGGCAGAGCTTGAGTTCTAGTTTGTGGGACTTTGTGGCTAAGTTAATTCACATCTTCTGGGCCAGTTCTCCTCGTCTTCAATAGGGGCTGTTAGGAGAATCCTTTGCATTGGACTCCTGTGCAGAAGAACTAGCATTTCACTGTGTTCAGAGCAGCATCTGACACAGAGGAGACACATATGGATATTTGGGGGCAGTACCATCTTGGTCAGGCCACGTGACCTCTCTGTGCCGTCATTACCTCAGCTGTGATATAACAGCTAACTTGCCATGCAGATGGAAAACCCTGCATCTGGTACATAAACCAAACGCACTGCCAGCACGTCGTATGGTGACCCTATCAGGCAGGGCAGACCTGGCCCCGGTGGGACATACTAGTTGACGGGAGTAGAAAGCCCCATCTTTCTCCGGTAGAGGAGCTGGTGGCTTTGAACTGGAGAGCTTATGGCAAGTGGCCCTGTAGGACAAAGTAAAATTGTCCCTGTGGGTTCCTGAGCCTGTAATGCTTTGTGGGAGTAGAAAGCCTCATCTTTCTCCCTAGGAGCGGCTGGTAGTTTCAAATTGCTGACCTCAGGGTTAGCAGCTCAACTTCTAACCACTGTGTCACTCATGCTCCTACCTGGCACATAGTAGGTGCTTACTAAACGAGAGACGGTGTCGATCTTAGATGATGCTTGTTGAACCTCCTCCCCACTTGCTCAGCTGTTGTAGTAGACTGGCCGATGGGCACAGGGTCAGGTCTCCCCTTAGAAACAGAACTGCCTTTCTTCTTGTTGCACCTGGAGACACGAGTCCAGGGGTGGCGAAGAGGAGCCCCTGTCCGCACGGTTCTGAGGGTGAAGGCCTCTCCTGTTTCCATGGCTCTAGACCAACACTGATTGCACACCTCTTGGTTCTTCCAGTGCCTTCATGTTTTTGCCCTGCAGCTATAACCTAAATTGCTTCCTCCTCTTTGTCTCGGCATAGAGGCAAATGCACCCAACTGCGGCTTCTTCCGAGAAGAAGTTGGTGTGTTTTTGTTGAGTTTGACTAGGATACTGTAGATTTCAGAGGGACCCGTTGCTGAGACGAGCCCTGTGGAGCCCTAGTTCGAGACCTATGTTTATCTTCACTAACTCCTGTACTCAGTGCACGATAGGCTCAACCCTCCAGTATGGTCACTCTCAGGCCTGGAAGATTTCTAGGAACTGGTCTAGTCTGGAGCCTTATCTTGCTGATCCCGTGTGGGGACCTGTTTCTCATAAGATAGATCATTTTGAGCAGCAGTTCTCAACAGGTGGGTTACAACCCCTTTGGGGGTCAAATGACCCTTTCACAGGGGTAGCCCGATTCATAACAGTAGTAAAATGACAGTGATGAAGTAGCAACGAAAATGATTTTATGGTTGGGGGGGTCACTACAGCACGAGGCACTGTATGAAAGGGTTGCAGCCTTAGGAAGGTTGAGAACTACTGATTTTGAGGGTAGCTAACCCTCATGGCCAGAATATATATATATATATTTACTCTGCTATATGCCTTCTAGAGAATGAATCGAGTTCTATTTCCATTGGAATATTTGAAGACAGCTTTCATGCAGTTTCCTTCATTTTTCTAGGAATTTGATTTTTCCAGGCAGTCTAACTCTCCCTTTCTTTGACGGAATGTTTTTCTCTTAATTCCTGCCTCTGGCCTATCTGTCTTGGAAGGACAGCCAGAATGTCCGCTAGAAGTCAGGTCTTGGATATCATATCAGGAGGGACTGGTCCCGGAGGAAGGGCATCTTGCTTGGTAAAGTCGAGTGTCCGAGGAAGTCGAGAGGAAAGAGGAAGTCTCTCAGTGAGGTCACTTGGGACAGTGGCTGCCATAGCCACAGCATCGGTCATGAGGCCATTGCTCTGTTGTGCATCGGGTTGCTCTGCGTGGAAGCCATCTCGGGAGCCCCTAACCACAGCAGCATTTCCTCCTTGAAGTGGACCAGGAATTGCGACAGCATTCCCGCACTGAGTAGAGAGGGACTTTTGCCTTCTGTGTCAGAGCACCAGATTTCTGCTAATGCAAGCTGAGATTGCGTTAGGTTTTTCAGCATAACCGTCATGCTTTTGACTCATAAGCCATGTGCAGTCAGCCACAATTGTCATTTTTTAAGTCCGGAATGTTGCAAGCGACTTGCTTTCGGCCTCCTAATTTGTGTAGGTGGGTTCTTGAACGTAAAGGGGAGAAATACTTACCTCTTTTCTGTTCTACGTAGATTCCATATGCCATTGCATCTTGCCAGAATTCATTCTTGACTCCCGTGTACCCATTCACTGCATTTGATTCTTCTTGTTTTCTGCTCTCTAAGAACTTGGTAAGCACCTTTGTTCTCATCCAAGTAGGGTCAACACTGGAAGCTTGGGAATAAGAGGAGTTTGGGGCTTTGTATTCAGGTGTGTTTAAGAAAAATCTCTGGCACTGCAACCCCACTAGGTGTGTAGCTTGGGAACCGTTTCTGGCTCTCGGTTTCCTGGCAAAACAGATTAGTTGCCTCCAAGGATCACTAAGCATCATATCAGTGGCGTCTGTGAATGACTGATAGAATTATCAGTGGTCATGGTACATAGTTGACACCCAACACATCTGAGTTGAATTCTTTCCCCTCTGCCCCTGGCTTGCTACCTGACCTTTGCTAGTTTGCTTAAGCTTTCTGGGATTCAGGTTTCCTTGCCTCTAAATTGGGACTTTGGGAAAACACCCACTTGTAGAAAGTTGCTCAGTCTTTGGATTCGAGGTCACCTGGGACTAAGTGGTGATGGTCGCTGTCCACTGGGTTAAGTGCCTTGAGGGCAGGCCTGAATCTCCCTTATGGTTGTACTTCAAGAAGTAGCCGAAGGCTGAGCGTATTTATTTCTCATGGTTGCTGGAACAAAGTACCATCATTTAGTGCCGTGGTTCTCAACCTTTCTAATGCCCTGACCCTGTCATACAGTTCCTCATGTTGTGGTGACCACCACCACCACCCCCGCCACAACCATATTTTCGTTGCTACATCCTAACTGTCATTTTGCTAATCTTATGAATCGGGGCGACTCTTGTGAAAAGGTCGTTCAACTCCCAAAGGGGTCACGACCCACAGGTTGAGAACTGCTGATTTAGTGGCTTGAAACAACAGAAATGGATTGTCTCTGAAGAAGAAAAATCAGACCTCTGAGTGTTCCCAGAGACACTGTGATCTCTAAGGTGTTCACAGAGACACTGGTCTCTCTGAAGGCTTCTTCCTACCTTCCTACCTGGGAATCCTGGTGGTGTTCCTTGGCCTTTAGATGTTTCATGCCCCTCTAGCGTCTGTCTTCACATGACCATCTTCCTACTGTGTCTTTGTGTTTTT